GATAATCAACGCACATTCTGTCGGTATTGTCCTTTTTCTTTACGAGGAGTATCGGACTTGCAAAAGGGGAAGAACTCTCACGAATTATACCGGCATCTAACAATAGCTGTATTTTTTCTCGAACTATTTGCTTCTCTATTGGTGCTAATCGATAGGGAGACCTTCGAACTATTTTATGAGGATCTATCAATTTAATGCTCAACTGCCCTGTAGTAACGCGCCTAGTAGGTATACCGTCTATGAAGTAATCTGAATATTTACTAATTATTTTTAACAGCAACAGTTTATCTTCTCCTTCTATGTCAGTATCGATTGAAGAAATATCAAAATCTGCCGATTTAGTTTCACAAAAATTGGTATGATCTTTGGTCTTAAATAAGACTTTATCGTTATCGATTGTCACACAATAACCTTTATCTAAGATATCCCTACCTACAATAATCGGCACAGACATAACCGTATCTGGAACGATGTGAAACATAAGGTCTACTGAGGCATTTCCTATTTTTACGGTACTTAAAATTTGGTAAGTGGATTGTACGTCATCACCCCCGATACCAGAAAGATGAACTAGGTTATTGCGCACAGTACCCGGAAACCGACAGCGAATACTTTCAGATAAGAGCGAGCAAGATGATCCGCTATCAAATAAAAATGGAAATTTCTCACCAGCTGATGTCTCTAACGTAGATCTGGAAAGTTGGTGGTCGCAAAGGTTGACTTCCCTCCTTTCAGATTTTCCTCCATTCTTCTTTTCTGGACAAGTTGTAGAGGCGTGACCAGGTTTTCCACACGTGTAGCAGATTATAGGCGGCTTGTCTTGATTATTTGTAGAACTGGATGCTTCATGAGACTTCAATGATTTGGAGTCTTCCTTTCGCTTCTTGCATTCAGCCTGTCGATGTCCTGCCACGCCACACCAATGACACTTTCCAGGGAACCTAGAGTCTGTCATTCGAGGTCGTTTAGAATCGGCGTCTTGATTTCCATCACTGACGTCGAACCGTCGCTTTAGCGATATGCCATTTAGGATCCGAAACAACTGAGCACGAGTGGTTATCACATGTGCTATCAACTCTCTACGTATCAAATTATCCTTTTGACACAGCACCGATATCACGAACCCAGTGATAACTTCTTCAGGAAGGTCAGTTTTTGGTATGCGTTCGATCAAGTTCCACAATCGCATTGCAGACTCTGATGCGGTTTCTTTGACTTTAATTTGAAATCGTAAAATTTCATCAAAATGATCTTGCATTAGTTTGGGTTTAGCAAA